ATAAGCTGTGAGGTACACAGAGAGGAAGTGCCATAGACCTGCTGGGGTCCAGCACATCCCAGCGGTACATTCCTACCGCCCAGCTATCAGACACTCATAACGCATAGACAGATGCAGACTAATACCTCCTTAGGCAGACATAACTACTGTTTGTCACAGTCTCAGAGCGGAGTAGATGCTATGCAAAAGCACAGAAAGGGAATTAAAATCATTATGACCTAAATCTGAAATCAAAACTAAAGCTACAACCAAGAAGTGAAAAAAGAAAATAGAATATCACTGCATTAAGAAAAAACACTCGAATTGCAGTTTTACCTCACTGTATCAGTGAATCAGTCAGTAAGTAAATACAAAAAAAGTCAAATACAGCTTGTTTATGCACGTGTAGCAGTGTTAACACAGGGCACAGTAGCAGAGGAGAATGACTTGCATGGAGGAACAAATATTAGCATCACTTTCACATAGTATTTGATCCGTTATTTTAAAACACACACACTTTAATTGGTATTAATATAAACCATGATTTTAGGTCATTAGATGACCCTGGCATAAATTAGCAACAAGAAAAAATGGCGTGCTGATGGCTTCTTTTATATAAAATATTTATTTTATTACTAAATGCTGGCATCTATTCAATAGGTCAATTATATGAATAACATAATAATAATAATAATATTATAATAATAAAATATATATATGTATATTTATTAGACATATATAGACACGCACACACGCACTGAAAGCAGGAGCTATGCAGCTGATGCACTGTCACTTTTCTGAACCTGTCACTCCCTCTCCCTCATGCAACCCACACACACCCACGCACACACGCACGCACGCTTACATTTCGGTTACACAAAGTAGATTTCACAGACACAGATAAACAATGCGAGGGCAGTTATCACTCCACAGAGCACAGTAACACAGAGGAAGAGGAAGAGGATGACAAAGAAATAGGGGAGGACAAAAAAGACGGCGTGTGTGTCGTCAGAGTCACAGGCCAGAGGGGCCCATGTATTGTTCCAGGGCTCAGTGTAGAGAGAGAAAGGCAACCTGGGCTGCCTCTGTCTAAGCGTCCTCCATGTTTTATGCATTCTGCCCTTTGTGATGATAAGCACTAGCGTGGAGGGTGGAATGCTGGCCTCCAGGGTCCAAGAGAAGGGTGGGCTCATGGGGGGCTGGGGTGCCGCTCAGTTCAATTTTGCAGCCCTTTGAGTCCTCCCTGTCATCCCTACCCTGCCCGCGTGTAGGCATATGTAGCCTTATGCCGACGCAAAACCGATGTTCCTCCCATCCCTAAATGCAAGAGCTAGCTGCTGCTGCCTCAGATAGGATGCACAGTCAGTCATAGCTACCACACACACATGCACAACACACACTCACCTTTTACGATACTGCCAGTATACTGCCGGGACAGGCATGCATCACACAGCTTTTCCACTCACAGTCGATACAGCAACCCAAAAATAAAACAGTCTTTATCACTGTTACAACACCGCTATCTATCAAGCAGCCTTATTTGCTGCAAAACTGATATTGTACATTTATTACAGAAGCAATACTGAGATTCTAGTCAAGGACGGAGATGCACAAACACATTATAATCCCCTTTTCATGACTTCCACGGCACTAATTTATTGTTAAAATTGAATGAAAATTTGTATAAATTTGTGTCACACATTATTGTACTCTGTTCCATGGCAGACAGTGAATACCCTTCACTAAAGGGGAGAAAGTCAAATTAGACGTCACACTTTGCTCCTAAACATGGGGGGGGGGGAGTGTTCTTCTCCTTCTCCCCATCTTTCTAATGTCTGTATGATAAGAGAGCGATGTTGCGTCCTCACAACACAGGTCTGCTCTGATTTGAACGCTGGCTTAGATTTTTGGAAACTGTTTAAAATTAATAAAAGCATCGACTACAAAAACAAAAGGGTATCATATAAAGACCTTGATGGGGAACACTCAAAAGATATTAGATTTTCAGAACGGCAGTATGCCCACAAATCTGAACGCTGCTGCGCGCACACATACACACACACACACACAGACACGCGCGCATCTTTCTCAGTCATAAATCTTGTCTACCACAATGATTTAACCAAGATTGTTAACACGATAACATATTGTGAAAGAGTAAACCACAAAAAAAAAAAAACCCAACCAATTTCACTTAAAGATAAAAGGATGACACTGAAGATGAAGAAAAGCTCGGAAGAAAAAATGACAGGGAGAGAATTATAAGGAAAAAAGGAATGGCTTTCTGAGGATAAAGAGGAACTCTTTTTGGACACTGGGGGCCACTGGGATTAGGGATCAGGTAGAGAATTCATGCACACACTGTAGGCATGCTTACGCACACACACACACACACACACACACACACACACACACACACACACACACACACACACACACACTAGAGTATGACATCCCTTCTATTCTTCCATCCCACTTTCTCACTATCTGTGTTTAACTAAGACACCCTCCTCCCCCTGCCCGCTTCTTTATGATAGCATGACATAAATACTGCAAATACTGGCCTCGGCTGCAGGACAGCTGGAAAAACTGGTCTTTGTTGCATGACCATGCATCAAAATCACACATCAAATTCAAAAGCCATCGTCTGTGATCACTGCCAGGCACATATATTGTACTATCTGACTTACATGCAGACAATACACAGAAAGGAGGAAATAACTGTCTGGTGACTGTTTAATAACCGTCCAATAACAATAATAATAATAATAATATGGAGAATTTTTTTTGCATAAATCAGTATGGATTTTTGTTTTCTATATGTACATACACACACTTTATCTGACACAAGTGAAACTGTGCTGAATGTCTCCTACATGGCCAAAGCCTACTGTTTCACCCAAAGAGGGCTCTCTCCGACAGAGGACATGGCAGCGAGCTCTCCCACGGCACCGGTGCCCAAGCACGGAAAGGTGGGAGTTAAGGAGAGCGAAACGCAAAAACACAGAGAACAGGATGGTAAGTGAAAGAGGGAGGAGAGAGAGAGAGAGTGAGAGAGAGAGGGGAGATGGAGAGGAAGAGAAGGGGTTACGACAGCCAGAGGCGCTGTCTCCCCTTTCTCTGTGCTACCCCCCCAAACCATGGAACATGCCCATCTGTGATGACTGCAACTCCCCTTTATCTCGTTTACAAAACTGGACCTGCTGTTCCCACTCATTCGGTCAAGTGACACCTGAATTCTCTGAATATACCTGTCATCAAATATTGTAATGGAAGATGAGGGGGTGGCTAAGTGCAAACAGTGGACAACCGATTTGTTGCCGTGCAAGATCAATGGCAACTGCACATCTCCACAGCAAATACTGACATCATATCAGAGCTTTACGACACCAAATATTGCCTTCATGTTATGAATAACAATCGCAACACAAAGAACACAGAAATAACCAGGTGTGAGTACACGATAAATCACAACCAGAATCACGCTTCACAACGAAATGCACCACAGTGCTATTGGGGTGGAGAAGAAAATCAAATCCAGTTGATTTCAAAGAAAGAAAAAGAATTTAGATACTTGTCCATCATGTTCACATAACAATCCCACCGTGTGATGTCAAAAAGATCAAATTATAACACTAATAAAATTCTGATAAAAATAATTACAATTAAATTTGGGAAATAAATCCATAAGCTATATATTTTTTTCTTTTATTGTCAACATAGGGAATATACTACCTTCATATTTTGCTTAGGTGATTTGCAATACCTATTTGTGTTGAAATGTTTTGGATTTGTGGAAATATTAAAAATGAGCTTTTGGCAAAAAACACTCTTCTAAACAAAAATGATAACCTAGTCTTGAGAAAGATATTAACGGAGAGGGAGAAATAACTCTGATCACAAGAAATCAAATCAAAATAAATACGATGGCCTCAAATATTTCTACACAAGCTGTCTGTGGTAAATACATCACTCTGGTAGCACTTTAAACCTGAGCGGAATACTTCCACTATCACAGTCAGAGATGAGCTTGAGATACTACAGTTAGCGACACCAAACACAGCTCCTGACAATTTGTGAAATAGATTACACAAAAATAAAGCCAGTGACATTCCTATACCTTTTCCTAGAACTGTTATAATTAAACATAAATATGACAATGAGGCAAGACAGGAAAATCAGACAGGTGAGATGACAGTAAACATTTCTGCTGTCTTTGTTTTGTAAGGTAAGAGGGAGAGAGAGGGAGGATGTGGAGCGTTAACTGTCAGGCAGGGGAGGAAGGGAGATCACTCATGTTTTGGCACAGCAGCCTACCTGTCCTATATTAACACCTTTAAAATTCGAAGCACATAAAAGTTACTGTTGCAATCGCAGAAAGACACTGGAATACAAAGTACAGAAGAAGAAAAAAATGACTTAAATGTGAATCAGATTACCGATAAAAATGCAAAGAAAAATAAGAATGCTGGTCTCTCCTCTCTCTGGCAGTGCTAATCTCTTTCTGTCTGCTCCTCTACAGCCTGAAAGGTAGGGATCTGTTTACCTGACCTCTTCCTCTGATTGCTCCTCTATGGCCCATGGCTATCTGACCCCTCTGCACTCCTACCCTCAGCAGCACCCCCACCCCTTTTTTAAGGGGGGGGGGGGGGGGCTTTCTCTTGCAACCTCTTGACTACATGAACGTTTAATTTTATTAAACCCGTTACCGATCTATTTTCGTTTCTCCCATCCTAAAATAAGTCTTAATCCTGCAGATGCTGACAACCATACGGGCTTTGTGTGGCTCCCAAAACATGCCAACAACTAGCCTACCATCACCCTGTTCCCCCAGCCAGACCCACTCTCTCCCCATTATCCCTCGGCTGTTTGCGAGGGGGTTTCCTCTCTGTCTTTTTTATCTCTGCTCTCACTCCATGACCCCTGTTCCCCCCGTTTCTTGCTGTCTGACCTACCCCCCCACCCTCACAGACAGACACACACAGCTTCTCACCCCCCTTTCTGCTTCCCCAAACGGTACACATATCCTATCAATGCCTCTGCTCGCTCGGAAAAACCTTTTTCTCTCTTTCTATTCCCGACTCTGTGTCGCGAAATATATCGCAGATTACCTAATCATTCTCGCCGCTTTTTTAAAAAGCCGTATATAGACCAAGTCCTCCTGAAAAGTAGTCGTTATGTTTGAGGATATTTACAGAAATTTTCATCTTTCAATTACAGTCAAGGCAACAGAATTTCCGATTTCTTTATTTTTTCCGATCAGATTCATGTTTTTTGGGAGGGGGAGATTAGTTGGCCTATCAAAGCTATAATCAACTGTATTGGGGGGAAAAAGGCCTCTTCAGCTGAGACCATCTCTTTCAAAAGGCGTGTGTTTTCCACTCAACAATGCAGTCTGTTCTATTTTGAAGATATCCAGTTTGACTTTCTTTTCTCTCTCTCTCACTCTTTTTTTTTTATTCCTACAAGCGATCACTAAATGCATTCAGTGACCTGCAGGTTTAGCCTGGACCACGCTTAAAGTTTCCGGCAGTAACTTTGGAATGATAGTGTCTGCTTAAGGTCAGTCAAATGAGGCAATGTGTTGTTGTCTTTCTGGTCAACGTTTCTCGGGGAAAAGTCTTTTCTTGAAAGTCAAGATACGGTAGCCAAGTAGTTCGAGGCAGAAGACGCAGGCTGTCGCCGTCTTCCCTAAAATGCATGTCTGCTCTGTGCAGCGCTGCTCAGACTCTCAGGCTGTCCGTGTACAAGGTCCTGCTGATCCGCTCCTGTCACGAAGGAGACCCTGGGCTCCGTTTTTCCCTCAACAAACCACATTCACATTGCACACACCGCGCCCGCAAACACAAACCCGCTCATGCACGCACACACACACACGTCGATCGATTTGCATGTGACTCCGTCAGTGAATGAGCGAGTATCGACTTAAAAACAACGCTTGAAAGAGGCAAACCGCTATGAAAAATAAAAAAGAAAAGATGGACAAAGTGGGGTAAAGGGGGGAAAGTGTAGCTAGAGGAACTAAGGCAGGGCGGAGGGATTGCCCATTTCAGACAGAGACGTGTCGGAGAAGAACAAAAATGTCTTTATCCAGAAGAGGATTTTATAAGCACACGACGTTGGTGAAACCCCGTGGATGTGGCAAGTGTGAAATCTGTCAAAATTTAGAAAGAGAGAGATGTTCCCATCTGCCGGACACACACGGACCCCACTAGCTGGACTTGGAGCTCCTTTTCTGGGCAGCGCTCATGTGGAGCTGCCGCTGCCCTTCGTCCGCCGCTCAGCACAGCCCTCTCTCATTGCGTTTGTGCCTCAAAACACGTTTCTCGACAACCACAAACCCTCTACACCTTTCCCCGATCCCACCGAAAAGCACACATTTGTTTTAAAACCGTGCTTTTTTTATTCCCCCCCCCTCTCTCCACGATCAACTGCTTGGAGTGGATCGCTGTCTTGCCTATTTCTTATCTTCCATTCATGAGGAGGAGAGGACGGACGCTGATGTAAACACAGGTAACGATACGAATAAAAATCGAGAATAAACCAACTACTTGCATGAAATGAACTTGTGATCGCCAGCCTTTTCTCACAACGTGAGAATAGCCAGGTCCGCTACACGAAAAAAACTACGAACAGATAGGAGAGGAGAGATTCAGATAAGTCAGACAGCGAAAAGAATAGGATCGCTGAAACAGAGGAAAAGAGACAAACGCAAAGTTGAAACTTACAATTTCTCGCTGCCGGTTTGTGATCCTCGCTTTTTAATCCAGTATTGAGATGATTTAGCTAAAGATCCCATCAAGGCAGTCCCCTTTTGGTCAGTTTGCGCTTAGGGTGGCAAAAGAAAGATCATTGTTGTTGCGGAGTGTAAAAAACGAAGTAGGTACTATTAGTTGTTAAAGGCAATATAAAAATAATTTGGATGCAAAGCAGGCGATGAGTCTTGTGTTAGAGGGAGCGAGGAAGAGGTGAAAGTGAGATCTGATGATTGAAAAGAAAAAACTCTTTGGATCTTTATTCCTGCTAATTAGTTTCCTGCAAAAAATGGCTGTGATTAATTCAGTGCGCATGTGCTTCATTACACAGGCACGAAGGGAAGGGCTAATTAGCCGCCTTCTGGATCAATAAGATTCAGCAAAGGAGAGAGCTCGGGAGAGAGAGGGAGGGAGGGAGGGAGAAAGAGGAGGGAGGGAGGGATGGATGGATAGATACAAGTAGAAAAAAAGAGGAAAGTAATGATCAGGAATTGAAAATATGGAATTAAGAACAGCGGAAAGTAAGAGTTTGATTAGAGGAAAGGCAGCGAAAGTTAATAGTGGAGCAGGCAGCCGTAGCAGGCAAAGCCCGGTGCCACGGACGCAGCTTTTCTTCCGCTCTTTTTTTTTCCTCCACTTTTTGAAAACGTTTTCTTGTCGCGGTTTTTGCTTTTTAAAATGAAAGATATGCACATGTTTCGGTCACTTAAAGCGCATAAGCAGCCCGGCTTTATTTTATTCAGTCTCTTTTGGGTCCATGCGAGCCAATTTGGTCTCGTCAAAGCTGCACGGAGGGTTATGTTTCTTCTTCTTCTTCTTCTTTTTTTTTTTAAGTGAGTTTAGATTGTACGTTTAAAGAAGTTATTGAAAACCAAATCAGACTCTCGGCAGCTGAAATGACCAGAAAAGTTCGCCTGCTAGTCATCGGCACAGTGTACCTGTAACCATTCAGCGACCTGTCGTGTTTGCAAAGAACTACAATAAACATTTGCGGGAGGGATGATTATTTTTTTCAAAGCGATTTCCACATCTATGCAAAAGTGTACTGTAACAGCAGCATGCAGGATGCCAGGGTATAGCTTACTATTGTAACCTGCAAAAAACAAAGGGAAAAAAGAGCATGCTTAGTTCCCTGGATATTAGAACTAACAGGTTATATGTACGTGTACATTTATACATTTTGAAGCATTAAGAGGAAAGCCACTTGCCCAGAGACTGAAGTTGGCATTAAACAGCGGTGTTGCGCGCCTTCAAAAATGTCAAACTTTGATCAACTTCGTGTAGATCGACCCTTGCAAAATCATGGAAGGGAATCCTTTTGAATTCTTGCGTTTATTTCCCAAATAAAAATCAAATCAAATTAAAACAACGGTGACTGGCTCAATGGTGAGACGTATATGAAAGTCTACTGCAACTTTAGAGCAATGAGGTGTTTCTCAACTCGCATAAAAATGTGTGTGCGTATATTTAAGTGAAATAAAGCAAACAAAGCCATGACACCTGACGGAAATGTGAAATTGTCAAATTCGGTTTTATAGAATAAGACAGAGCAAAATGCAAGTTTGACGGGGAAGGTATGAAAAGGACGTGTCGTCCTTACAGTTACAGCCAGTTCCAAATTGCAGACCAAATAAAATTCAGCACAATATCTTATAGCAGTGTTGGAATATAAAATAATTTGTTATTTAAGATATTAGGAGAACCCCATAAAAGCTTTAAATATTTTTTTCTTTTTTTCCTGTAAATCTGGCAAACTCGTGAGAGCTGCTTTTATTCGTACAGTATGCAAAGAAAATTCAGCTTCTTAAAAAACTCCAACCAAATAAAGAACTTGTTGAAACCACAACCATATACATGTGTGTTATATCTAATTTAATTTTTAAGGCTATTTATAATGTGCATAAGCCTGAAGTAGCTATTTAAAAAATATACATATATTGTTTCTTACCCAGCACATCAGTGAAAGGCTTGCTGAAACACAGAGGAGTGATGGGGAAACAGGCTATCAAGACATCTATTACTAAACTGATTTTGTTTGTTGGCAGCATCGTGTTCAATAAGTGCACCTTCTCTTAAATAATAATAATAACACTATAAATGTGTGACAAGGTGACAGAGTTGTGTCAGGCGTTTTTTTGTTTTTTGTTTGGTCCACTCCGGCCTGTATGCATGGAATTTGCTATGCTGTGATAATTACACTGATATTATGACAGGAAGCCCAGGTGGACAGTGTCTCATCTCATCCTGAGGTGTTTCGTGTTCAGGAAATTCTGAAAGCCTTTATGATCGATCCGAACATGAATTTGTTGAGGTTCTGCGTTTGTTTGTCTTAATAATATTTCCGTAAAGCACGTCTCCTCTGTAACTGATGTCCCATCGTTTCCTCCGAATGAAAAGACCGCATTGCAAAAAATCAACCTTTGAGTCTCTCAGTGCTCTTTGTTATGATAATTTTATTGTTGATTCTCCGAGGAAATGGACAATCCCTCACTCTTAGTGTGCACACTTTCTGTGCAAACACTTCCATATAGAGTCCCTGGTCCACTGAATACAAGCAGTAGCTTTCCCTGATAACACAACGTGCCATGTTTATTGAAACAATACGGATTTGTTAGCCTGGGTCTATATGGTGAATTCAGACGCAGAGTTAACAGTTAAAAGGCAAACATAGCCCGGCCGAAACATTGCCCAATCATACAGATTCAAAGTACTCAGTATACAAAGCTTTGGTAAGAAACGACTTTTAACCGGGTTAATAAATCTACCGAACATGTATTTTGTTTGTTTGCTTGTTTTCGCGTGTCTCGGATAGAAATGCATGGCACAGACAAATCTAATGTGTTTCATTTTTATTATTTTTTTTCGAGGATCTCACACAGCCGATGTGTTTAGCCTTTTGTGATGGTGCAGTGGCGAAGATGGTAGATGAATGCTAGACCATATTTTATATTTTCCAGGGGCCTTTGACTTAAAGGTTAGAAAGGTTATGAAACCCCATGGGACCCGGCGTTTCTACAGATCCAATAGCATATATTCCTTTGAAGAGCCTATGAAAATCAAACTTCTTACATTGTATCCTATATGGCTAAGACCCAACTCCCCCCTTCCATCGCTCTCTTTCTCTCCCTCCCTCCCTCTCTGTCTGTCTCTCCCCCTTCTCTCTCTCCCTCTCTCTCTGCTGGTAAAATATATGGTGTGCTGTAACACGGCATTTCCTCAGCACTTGCCTTCCACAAGCCACGGTAGGCACTGATACCTGTTTTTAAGCAATGCGGCATCGCCTGTATAGCATGCCCCTCTTAGAAAAACAAGACAACTGCATCGCCCCTTCGAACAGCTCGCATTTTTGCAGTGTGAGAGGCAGTCTGCAGGAATCTCGAGGATTTGCGACGTGTCTGCTCTCTCGGGAAGAAGAGATTGTAAAAATGAATAGGTTGAAAACAGCGTGCGAGAGGAGTTAAAGGGGCTGCGAGATAATAAAAGAGTGTGGTGTAATTTGAGGCTTGTAGGAGGCAGCTTTGAGCCAGTCAGTCGCCTAAAGCCTAACAATGCAAACTTCAGTTTACAAATTTATGCAAAGGCCTGATTGATATTACTCCATCAGCGACCATATTGAGTATAGTGTAGGCTAAATCAAAGGCAGAGCAGTCAGGCAGAGGCCTTGATGCTTTTAGGGCCTATGCATCACTGAAAAGAGAAAAAGGGGGAACTGACAGGGTCTGAAGCTTTTGTGTTACCACCATTCAATTGCGCCTCTCAGTGGGAAGGATAACTGTCCACGTGCCAGCCTCAATAGGCATACATCGATGAGTGGCATTGCAAATTCAACACAACCTGTGGCTATGACAGCCCGTGGATATGACAAAGAAAGGCAGAGGAGCTTAAAAATGCAAAATTCTCCGTAGATGCGGAGCACATGAAAGTGCTTGACCATATGAAGGACTGCAAGGAACAAAACTGTGCATTCAGAGGGCAGAGCCTCCCTCCCCCCAATAATCGTCACTAACGTGCTTGGACCGGCACTCTGTGATGGTTGTCAGAGACCCACGTGTAGCACTTGTCAGCTTTTAGAAATATTTACTTTAATGTGTTCAAATTAAATTACATTTACTTTATTTAACAGATCGGCTACCGTGCTCCCGTGTTACGCGTGCCCGCGCGTGTACGCCATGCACTCGGAATCCCAGACAAAGCACAAAGGGAAACAGAGGAAATGAGCAGGGGTGAAAGTATTTAAAGATGAAAGCTGCTATCGAGAAAAGTCATATAACTTTATAAAGAGATAACGACCATTATATTCCGAAGGATTTAGGGATTTAAGATGTTCATAGGCTGCAATATTAACAAGAGGAGTGTCAGTCATGTGTTCAGGCTATGGTAAACAGATATGAAAAGGGCATCAGGAAATTCTTAAGGAAACCGACTGAGCGAGCTTATGCTGTGAAAATATAAATAAAAATTGCGTGTGGACTCGAAGCTCAGGCTGAGACACAAAGGGAAACAACACAAATATTTTTTTAACGACGAAAATTAAATTGATTTTTCTTTTTAGTGAAGATGTTAATGACACATTTAAAAGACGCCACACGCACGGCCCGCGGGTTCGATCCTCCGCTCAGTGACCCCAGCTGGGCTGATAATAGGCTAGAAAGACTGGAGCCCAGGTTACCCATCTTAACTGTAAATACAGACATTTAAAAACTTTTCAATATATTATTATTTTTCATAAAAAGGTACAACTTACTGATGCGGAATAAT